CCTCTCATTTAGTGTTTTTCATTCTCTTCACGCATACTAAAACGTTATTTTTCCATATCAATAAACCTTATTAATTCAATTATTTTATAGAATAAAAGCAGCTTTTAAGTGAATGAAACCAAAATATATACAGTGAAAAGTCATTCAGTTAATAGTCAACATTAAGTCTAGTGTATATATGCATTACAAATGTCACAGCGAAATAAAAATTAATAAATTGAATAACAGAGGGGTCGAAATAGTGATGTTATAAATGATAGTGAAATGGACTCAACAAAGATCCTTACTTAAATGACGAATGGCTACCATCAATTTTTTACTGTGATCCATTATTTTCGTTTTTTTGTTAATAGATGTCACAAAAATCCTGTATATTTAAGATAACATCTCCAGATGATTCTAAAGTGACTGGAGCAATATGGGGCCCAGTCAACCGAAACATTATTTGCGGACATGAGTCCGGAGCTATAACAATGATTGATGTTAGTTCCGGGGAATGTTCAAAGCGTATCAACCCTCATAAAGGACCTGTTACAGATATGCAGATGCACCTAACTCTGCCAATGTTCATAACTGGATCGAAAGATCATAATGCCAAAGTAAGTAAATTTTCTAATACATCATTACCTAGCGTCGATAGTATTTAGTCTCAGTGAATCCCCCATCTTAGCTGTTACCTCGACATAGTGATCAGGCTCGCATACCGTAATGACTTAATCAACCTATATTAGCTGGGGCATTCGTTCTTTTAGATCCTACCATACCAGGAAGGTTGGTTGTAGAGCGGTTGAATTAAATGCAACTAACACATGGTCCGAGAGTGAAGTCGTACTGCCGGCTGGGCTAAAAATGTGATAGCGGTGTAGTGTTTCACTCAGATAACCAACATCTGCAGCAGTGCTGCCTTCCCACAAAGAAGAGTAGGGGCTAGTAGAGGTCTACCCTAACAGCACATCTCACTCCACGAATTGGTCATTCCTGAGAAATACAAAACTAATGTATGACAAACTACTAGACTAAAAGTCCGCAAGTAACTGACCTCAAGTAGTTGTCTCTTAAGCACTAGTCGTTAAAACCATCTTCAGTCTAGTTTCCTTCCTAGTTACCTCAAAATGAAGTATCCTTCCACAGTGTCAGTGACCACCCTCAAACGTCTAACAGCACTCGAAATCACTTTGTATACAGCTAAGCTCCATCTTTATTGCCTAATATTTTTCTCATTTATTCTAACAATACTTGTCTTTTTTACTTCTTGTATATCTACTATAAATGTTAACGATTTGAGCTCAATAAGTTTCTTAAAGCCACAATTCAAACTATCTGTCGGAGTTCTAAATGTCCAAACCCTATGTTAAATCTGGCAATAGGTGTTTCTAATTAAGACCCTAGAATTTCATCCCATCGATATGTTCATACAGGATTCTAGCGTGGATATATCCTTGACGTCACCCAGCCAGAATGAACAACCAATATTAAATATCCTTCGTGTATCTAAAGTTATGATAGCAACTTCTCGTGGTCTTCTTTGTATAGGTGTGACATTAATTCTAAAAGAAAGATAGGCGCTTCTTAACCGGATTCCTTTCTACTGTCGTTTATGTGCTTTCCGTACAGTAAAACATTAGAAGGATAGGGACCTATTCATCTCCCTTATCTCGACGACCAAACCATCCAGCTCAGAGGACAAAACTCCACCAAAATTGTCCACCTGAGCTACAAGTTTTCTCTACCATCTCTTATCTTTGTTTCTCCCATTGATGGAGGCTCAGGTGAAGTAAAGCTGAGTTTTACAAAAGAACTCAGACCTATGCAAGCACATATTTTCCTTTAAAAGTCTATAATCATATTCATTTTGTGTTTGTATTCAGCTTTTCAGTGCTTATGATTTGGAATGCATCCGAACATATACTACCGAACGTCCGATAAATTCTGCTGCTATTTCACCTATTAGAGATCACGTGAGTTATTTTAATATTCAGAAACTACTATGGGATTGTAGAAATTTTACTACTTCAAATATTGAAGTAGTAAAATTTCTACAATCCCATCCACAAAGTTCTAATAAACCAATGTATGTTCACCTGATGGAAACATTCTTTATTTCTTTGAGTCATAACTATTTTTCTGTCTCTGGTAGCATTATCATGCAGCTATCAAATCTAAGTCACCAAAGCTAGTGTTCCAAAATGAACATCACCATTCGAACAACGGTTTCTGTTATATTCAAGCGCATATTGTCGGAATGCAGAAGTAATAACCTGGTATTATCACACTAAGCATGACCATCAACTCTGTAGTGTTTAAAATAATAGATATAGAACAACTGCATATACAACTGAATAGTTTGTGCTCAGATTAACACTAAAATAACTCAAGTTGTCAAGATCGTCAATATACTAATTTGCATTGGTTCATCTTCTCTACCAAAGCAACATTAACACACAAGCTTCTCCACTATTTCTGACGACACGCCAAGCTAAATATTACAGAATTTCAATCGTGTAGACGTTCTCCACTCTACGACTGTTTGAAGTACATACTATGTCTAATAGAATAGAACTTTGTTTCAATAAAACGAAAGCACTGTTCCTAGCTGAGCTGCAGTTAGCATTTATTTGCGCAGGTAGCGATCGACTGAAGTTTTTTTTATGAGAACTTCGCCGATGATTTATTCCTGATTAGAATTAATCTACCACGACAATCTAAAAATCACTGTTACTTAAATGCTGACGTTATTGGCCAAACTAAACATGTCATTGTTAAGGTCAACAAGAAACAGTCAACATCGAGGTGTACAGGACAAGCTATGAACTACATGTGGAGAAATCCGAACACTTCACTCCTACCTGAAGTTTGTGCTGATGATTTCGTTCAGAAGAACGATGAAAGCTCCACGACCAAACTATTCAGCTCAGAGAACAAAACCCCATCAAAATCATCCACCTGAGCTACAAGTCTTCTCCACCAGTGAATTTCAAAGAGATATATATCAGTATTGAAGCCTGATAGATGTCACGTAGCCCTTTTTATCTGTTGTGTTAAAATATTGTATATAGTATTCTATAGTTTTATTTTTCTCATTAAAATTAGGTCTTATTAGGAGGTGGTCAAGAAGCTCATGAAGTAACAACAACAGCTGTTGGCCAAGGAAAATTCGATGTCAGATTCTATCATTTAATTTATGAAGAAGAATTTGGTCGTGTTAAAGGACATTTTGGTCCTGTTAATAGTGTAGCATTCACACCAGATGGCAGTGGGTGCGTTTATAACATGTATATTTTTAAATATCCTCTAAAGAATAACTTGTTTTATTGTTAAAAATGGATTTTTTGAACATATCCTCACCATTCCATGAGTGAGTTATGTATAAACCTCAATTTTGAAGGCCTACAAAATCTAATACAACATAGTAACAGACTGGATTAATACAATATCTTTGGTCTGATTTGTTATTTGTCACAGTAGTAGTTACTTCTAATGTATCATACAGAATCCAGGTTCTTGAACACACCGACACCTCTTCCTATTGTCTTTATCCAGACCTATTAGCTTAACCATAATTTCATGTATTAACACACAGTATAGCTTTTATTTTTCACATGCTTCTCATGTTCTGTGTTAGTTGTCACGATGTTTATTCGTTTCATTTATCTTTTTTATTTTGTTTAAATTTAACAGATTCGCAACTGGTGGAGAAGAAGGCTATGTTCGACTGCACACATTCGATAGTGAATACAGTGATTTGGATCAACGTGTTTTCTGAAATAAGAAAATTCCATGCTGTTACTTTGGTGACTTGTACTAAACGCTCGACAAAAAAAATAAATGAAACTAAACTTTCCATTGACATTTTCTTGTTTGTAAAATCTAAGATCTTCAAACTACAATTAGTCCGCTCTACTCCGATTTAACTGGAAAAATGTTTTTTTAAAAACATTGTACGCATTATCCTCGGAGCAAAAACGATCACGAAGTAGTAAAGACGTTATGTTACTGTGAATAAGGTCGATCTTACTAAATTTCACATTGATGCATATCGTTTGTAAGATCCATATCGCTCATCTTATCACGAAAAATTAGATCACCTTTTGATAATATTCAACACGATACTCGTGAGCTCCTTTAGTCAACATTATTGTAGGCCTATAGGTACTAATCCTAACGAATTTCTCATTATTATATTACACAAACTTCTGTGAAAAAGATGGTGGTTTGATTAGTTCTATGGTGGGTGACTTTGACTATTCAACAGTAGCTTTCAGAATAAAAACCAGGATATCTTGGTTCATTCTCACTTTTTGGATGAAGTGTACGTGGCAATCTAGTGATTTTATACATTATTAAATATGGTTTGGTACAATTAATCATTTACTACTTATACACTGCATTCTTAATAATCAGTGAAAAAAGCTCTTAAGATGACTTAATTTTTTTCCTTGGTTGCGAATGAGGTCCTTCCGAGTGCTGTTAGGTATGGCGAATGTTGTCACTTGATGGTTTCCCATACCGTGAAAAGATAACTTTTATTGAAATACGTAAAACAGAAACTGGGTTTTGAGTGATCGTGACGACCTGAAAGGCATGACCAGTCACCAAGGGGACGTTACTTGAAACCGGTTACACGCAAGCATGTTCGATTAGTTAACTCAAAGGAGACGTATGCTCGAGACCTTACCGCCGGCGACGAACACCCGTGGAGTAAGGTGAGACTTTAAGGTCGCCTTCTGCCTTCCGTTGTATGACAGATCCTGGTCGTCTAAGTGAAGCACCACTGCTGTCACATCTCCGTTGTAGTCCGCTGTTTAACTTTGTCTTCCGACTACTACCTTGTTGCTTTTAGTCTTACCACTCCAATAAATTGACCCAGCATGGTAGGACCGAAAAAAACGAGTAATCCAACCAATGTGGCTCAATTGAATCATTACGATATGGCAGTTATAATCGGGCCCTCATACACACACACGATTTTCCTTGCAATATTTGTTTGAGTCACTGAACAATTTTCAGGAATAAATATAAGTCTTTAACTTTAAAGAATCAGAAATACATAATAGGTCAATTTGTAAACGCATTAAACCGGAATAATTGCCAACCATACACGAAGTGGTTTTTAAAATCCAGTACTCTTCATAAATTAAACTTCACATTGTCACTCAACTAATTACTTCCCACTTGTCTCAAAGTAACTAAATCATAAAAACATCCCTCAAGAGGATATACCATTGACATCACTATGCATATAAGTATATATATATATATATATATATATATATACACCGTGTGTTGATTAGCAGAATTTCAAACGCCTACAGCATGCTATTAGAAAACAATAAAGAAAAGACAAGAAAGCAAACTTCAAGATTTGACGGGGGAAAAAATGACTGTTAACAGTTTAACAACAAAACCAAAATAACCCCTCTGTTGACAATGTCGAGTTAGATATATATAATACAGTGATCTGATCTAAATATTAATAGACTAATAAGCAATAGTATTGTGATAGAAATAATAAAGACAATAACTAATTACGTAATAAACATCAAAACACAGAAGACGAAAAAAAAGATTTTCTCTAAATAAATAAAGAAGTTATGTAATTGAAACCAATAAGCAAATATACAAACAAGGCGCTCAAATTAAACCAATACACAACATGGATACAAAGAAACAAAAAGAAAAATAATTTATAATTTTAAATTATTCAATGGTAAATTATAATTCATTTTAGATTCATTTGATGATTGAATTAAATGATTAATTGTTGTTGATAATGAATTATTTTTAGATAATTTAGTTGTTATAGTTGAAGTAAATGAACGACTCATTGTTGAATTAGTTGTTTTATTTAGTAATTGATTATGATGATATGTATGTTCATTAGTTTTATTATTTAATGGTTCAGATATCTATAAAATATAATAGGAGAAAACAAAAGAAATTTAAAAATATAAATTAGATAATATTGAAAGTTGAGTAAGTAATGCAGTTGTTAGGAAACGGGTACTAGTTAGGGATAGCAAATCAATTAATGAAGTAGTGACACTTCATCAGTTGAGATGGAGGCTAGGACACGTGTTATGTATGCCCAACGACCAACTGCCTCGATGTGCGATGTTCAGTGGTATAAGAGTAGATTGGAAGAAAGCTAGAGGCGACCAGACTAGACCAAAACATGGCACAAATCCATGAAATCACTGACAAGTGGTCTGAGTCATGTTGATAGGTGTAGACTACCTGGTTGGGGACCGCGAAATAATAGCAACCGATGGTTAAAGACCCTGAATGACATGGCTCAAAATCGTTTGCAATAGTGCAAGTGCATTCACTCTTTTTGTTCTCCCAAATTCTAGTCTGAATCCTTCTTGTCTCTTTTTTTCTCTTCCTAAATTTATTCCACTGGATTATACTCTTTAAATAACATCTTCAAACCCTAATGTTCCCGATTACTGCTTATACTCTTATTACCTTTATTATTACGGAATTTGAGTCCACAACTCTATCTCTGTGCTAATGTGGTATAGCAACTCGAACTGATGTACGTACATAAGAAGTTCTACGTTGTTACTGACTGACTGATATGCTTGAATGCTATGACGATTTCATTTTACTCGGTAAATAGAACGAAGGTCAAAGATACAATGACACGACTGGGTATTCTAATCCGTTGTCCCTGATCTTGCTAACTAGATCAGGAAGTCTTGATGAGACGTAGAGAATGTATTCTAAAAACACCCAGAAAATACGAGGTCACTAAGCACACAAATCAAGCTTATTTATACAATGATAGAAACGCCCTTGGGGAGAGCTACAAGATAGTGTACTAAAAAAATCCGTTAACTAATGACAGTTAAGGATTTCCGAATGGGAAATGTAAGCTGTAGGTCAAATAAGCGTCTCTTGGCGCGAAAACAAAAAAGATGATCAAATCTTTTGAAATAATCATCTGATGAAGGTACTCTAATCTTAATAAAGTAAGGTTAGTTAGTCAGTCAGTAACAACATAGAACTTTTTACGTACGTACATCAGTTCGGATAGCCATATTACATTAGCACACAGATACAATTGTCGATTCAAATCCCATAGTGCGAGAGATAGTAAGGTAGAATTATCTTTGTTCATCAGTCAGTCAGTCAGCTACAACGTCGGACCAGGCACATATATGCATCGGTCCAGGTTGCCATACCTCATTAGCACAGCAAGATGAACACCGGATTCATAGGAGTGGTTAGGTTAAAGGTGGTGATATATAGGAGAAAGATTGCATATAAGGATACAGTACCGGAATATAGAATTAGTTCGTAGAAAGAAAGATTTGAAGTGATTTTAATCTCTTAGTTTAAGGGAAGACAGGGAGTATATACACCGACGCCATTGTGTCCGATTCTGAGCCATGTCACCAAGAGTCTCCAACCATTGGTTACGAAAGTCACGCGGACTCCAACCAAGTAGTCTGCATCTCCCAACATGGCTCAGACTAGAGGTTAGTGTCTTCAAGCACTGATGCCACGTTTTGGTTTGGCCGCCCCTAATTCTCTTCCAACCATCTCTAACACCCGTTAGCATTGCACGACGTGGTAATCGGTGTTCAGGCATACGTAACACGTAGCCCAACCATCTCAGTCAATGAAGATTAACAACCTCATCAACTGATTTACCATCATTACCTAATACCCTGAGTCTAACCTCACTATTACTTACCCGATTATCCCAGCAGATGCCAGCAATATTTCTAAGGCATCTGTGGTCAAATACTAGTAGCTTACGAGTGTCTTCTACTCTTAAAGGCCATGTTTCGCTGCCGTTCATTAAGTTAAGATGGAATCAATTTCCTTATTATAGTATAAAGTTCATTAAAATGAACTAGAGTACATACTCGTAAGTATCATCGATTGATTGACAGAAATTTGATCTTGGATACTGTTACATGGTATGAAGAAGATTGTCACTCTCCAGGTACATACACCGCGGAAGGAATTTTTTTCTTGGTTTTAGTGACCCGAGGATGTGACTGCAGGACAACTGCTTATAGTAGGCTTTTTTTATGAGAAAATCTAGGTGTTACCTCCACACTTCGAAAGACTCCAGGAGAGGGAAATCAGTGGGATAGGGTGTGCTATCACATTTTTAAGGTAGACCTTCCCTAACTCGTCGCTTTGGTTGTTGAAAGGAAACATCGCTCCAGATACTGAAACATCTTATTAGTGTCATATCTATATTGCAGTTGGGTGTACAACTTCGCCCCTGGACCTTGAGTTGCTGGTTTTAGTTTTGATGTTCGCCAGTCAACCTGTCTAGCATGCTAGGACATAAACGAATATGTGTTTCGGTCAATATAACTCAGTTGAGTCATCACCAGACCACCCTGTCAATGTTGCAGCTACGGTCGTGCAGTTGCTTGACAGGAATCAAAAGTTGCTATGATAGATTGCTCTCTGACGTAATCAGAAACCTCGCCATAATACTTAGATCAGCTCGTAGGTTACACATGATGAATGGTATTTAGGAAATAGTTTATGTTCATACCTAAACAGTATACAGTGGATGAATTAAAATAACTGAATATTTTTTTAAAAAAACATGCAAAATCTGGCAGTCATAAACCTGTTGTACAACTTACCAAGTCAGCTAACGTTTTAGGTCGCTGATTATACTTACGCCGACTAGATGTTGAATTAATCGATTGCTTTTTCATCAATGGTAGATTTTCACGATTATCAGATCCTTTATACGTCATTGAGTTGTAACTACTTGTCACCGTTGTTGTTTTATTTCCAGTGGTACCCCAAGGGGTTGTACTATCAGAGTCACTAAATGTTTTATTCATATCTAAAACAGAATTGTTCACAGTAGAATCACTAATGGACACTGGATGAGTGAGTTTCGATGGAAGAATAGGGGGAATAAGTGTAGAATTACACATATTAGATGTTGTATTATGCAATTTCAAGAGTTCCTTCAAAATTTCCACAAAACTTGGTCTGTTACTTGGTTCACAGTGCCATGTACGTAACATTAAAGCATATACTGTAGATGGACAATCTTCTGGAGATTTCATTCTATATCCAGACTCAATATGACGTAATACTTGATTAGCCATCTAGCAAAAAAAAACAATCCCATACAACATAAATAGTTATAAACTCTCTGAAATATGTTTTTATTTGTTAATAGATTAATCATTACGAGAAACAAGTTATTTAAATTAAGCGACAAAAGTGTAGAGTAAGTGTTACAATATGAACAACATTACAATACAGTAAAAAGAATCCGTTTTGTAGTTTGTGAGTTACAATTAACATTTCATAATATATGAGATATCTAGTTGTTAGTTAATTAGAATCAACATAAAGCCTGAAACAACTGTGTATTAGTCAATATTAACAAAACACAACGGTTGAATTTAGACATCAACACCGTTCAATACTGGTTCAGTGATTTAGAGGTTAAGTGTTCAAGCGTGAGACCGAAGGTCCCGGGTTCAAATCATGCATGCTGGATCGTGAGTACACACTAATGGGGAGTTCCATACTAGGACGAAACGGTCGTCCCGTGCTTTCAGGTTTTCCACGGTGGTCTAACTTAGATCGACTTATGAATTAAACTGTTAAAATACTACAATACTAAAATATTCTGATGTTAGCAAAAGATTTGAAATAATCGTACCATAAATGATAGTAATACTTAGGTAGTATAACGGGATGATTGTTAGAAAAGTTCGAACTGTCTCTTATCTGAAGTTATTTTGCTTATATTCTCGTTGTAGAACCATTAAATACCTAAATTATTGATTTATATTCTCCTGCTTGTAACCTTTTTTGCTCTGCTTAAACTGTTGTTACATGTCATATTGTTAATGTATTACGGACCTACTATTCAGTTATGTCATTATTGCAATTTCCTAATTATGCTGATATGTGGTCAGGATTTTACTCTCTATTATTATATGGGGTTTTAGTCATGATTGCATTGGGTACAATAGAGAATTGATATGTCTTTTACTGTCGTCTTCTGACTGACTATTGTGTTAAAATGAGCTCGAGAATCAATAGACGCCCCCAAATGCCTTCGTATGGCCGAGAGTGGAGTGTGCCCGCCCTCCCTCTTGAAATGCTCTCACACGGCCACGCGTATACAGCCTATGCCAGGGAAGTCCTACTCACTGCCTCCTCGTGGCGGGGGTGTTGTTTACAAAAATGAGAGGACGGAAAGCGAGTGTCCGGCGCTTTAACCGGGTCCCAAACCAATGGTGCACATGGGCTCCAGTATCCTGCGGGAACAAATGGAGTATGAACCAATCTTCGGTCACCGGCTACCATGGGAATGCATCTCCTTACGATGCTCCACTGCCCTGTGGATCAGACGTTTAGGTCAAAGGCTCGGGGTGTAGCCCCCTAAGAAAACTACCTGCTTTGGTCTGGGCACCCAGGCAGTACTACAGCCCACACACACAAATATGGTGTGTCGCATATATATTTGTTGCCACACAAAATCTTAGTTGCTGTTCATTGGTCAATCAGTAAATTGGTAAATAGGTTAACGAATCTGTTGGTGAACTAATCGACAGTCAAACTAGAAAGAGAAAGAGGTCATACTACTGCTTTCCCAACAATACAGCTCTATCACATAGGACCCGAGAAAACAACTTGTTGTTATTTTGTCCCGGCAAAAAATAAACATGGTGGTGTTAACTAAGAATGCGAATGGCCAAATTCAGCGTCTGTGAGAGATTTTCTCAGGTGACAAATAAAGACTTGATATTCACAGATGACGAAGGTAAAATCCCCCAACCTTGTACACAAGGTAACCATCATACGATACAGTCATCACCAATGTTCTGTTTGGCGTCCCTCCTTCGCAACTCAAACATAGACTCAAACCAATCACGTTTCAATCGGTTATCGGCAGTATTTTAATGGGCGAGACTGTCACTCTCTTCGGAGTAACTTTCCGGATTCCGACCATTTTCTCGTGTACACATAACTTACCTTTTATTTCTGTGGTCAATGAATTTATCGTTTTAAAATGGATTCATATATGCAAAGCTGATATTCAGCCCATCTAAAAAAATATTACCGACTGTCAATCTTGCACACAACACTTTCCTCGATAACGACTCAAAGTACATATTATGCTTACAAAACACTAAAAGTAACACAATAGCATTCTCCTTGAGAAAAGACGGTGCATTATTTTCAGTAAAACCGCGATTATTTGATTGTTCCCTGTTAGGTGATAGATTTGAAAATGATTGAATAGTTATCAGAGAACCCATAAATAAATCAATTAATTAAATAACTTACCATTCGTGGATATGGTATACGTCCATAAGAATAAATCTCCCATAATAATATGCCAAAACTCCAAACATCTGATTTTGTTGTAAACAACTGGATGATTTTTTCAAATTTAAGAAAAAAAAACCAATAAAAATTTGACTAATTATCAGTATGAGTTTGTGGAAATTACTGAACTTTATTGAATTCATGAACCGATCCAGGTCCTGGTGCAAACTGCTAAGAAGATCTATTCCAGGATAAAATAGCTATCCAGTGCTTCCAGAAATCTAATGATGGTTCCGTTTAGATCGGTCGATGACTCCGATGAAATTAGACAACTTAATTTTATCAGTAAAGATATTCAGTTGTTTTTTCAGGCTACACGTACACACACATTTAGGAAACACTGCATTCTTTCATTAAACAAATCTAGAGTATGCCAATTTTTATTTTTGAATAAGCTTGAACTGTGCTCTAACTATTAGCCCCCAAATGTCCTGGTATGGCCGAGAGTTTGGGTGGGCCCACCCTCCTTCCTGAAATGCTCTCACATGACCACGCATATACAGCCTCTGCCAGGGAAGTCCTACTCATTGCCTTCTCTCACCATGAGGGTGTTGTTTACGAAAATGAGAGGACGAAAAGCAAATGTCCAGCGCTTTAACCGAATTCCAAACCAATGGTGTACATGGGCTCCAGTATTCTGAGGGAAAAAATGGAGTATGAACCAATCACTGGTCACCGGCTACCATGGAACTGAATCTCCTCACGATGCTCCACTGCCTTGTGGGTCAGACCTTGAGGTCAAAGCCTCGGGGTGTGGCCCCCTAAGAAAACCACCTGCTTCGCTCTGGGCACCCGGGCAGTATCACAGCTCACACACAAATAAGATGAAAATGACGATATTTACTGGAAATTCTATTCACGCTTCGATTGACAGTCAAACAATGCAAATTATTATTATTTACCACGTCACTTATTCACTCTCTTTTATTCCCACTTTGTGTATCCTTATTTTTCGACTTATACAGAAGCTCGCCTATGGTGGAAACTCGGTTCTATCTAAATGTTCTCGAGTCACTGACTGGTTGAAAGCTGAATGCTACCACCAAATACGAATACTGAAGCTGTTTTTTTCTGAAATCACGTGCACCATTCAAACTGGTTGCCTTCAACGTTCGCACACTTATGCAGGTTGGACAACAGATAGGGCTGGTTATGTTCTTGGAAAATCTTAATATCGACGTTTCTTGTCTATTCGAGACCCGTATTCAGGACTCTGGTGAAGTACTATAAATTCGCTCTCCATCTGTCGCTTCAAAAAGCTTTTTTGACGTGCGTTGGCCATCAGTGTCCGTAGGTACGGTACGAGCTTTGCACCTTCGAAGTGCAAAGTACTTCTACAAGACTGGCAGGATCCTAATCCTGTACTCAACCTGGATGGTGAGCAGATAGAAGTAGTCGAGAAGTTCGTGTATCAAGGTAGCTGCATAAGTGCTGGTGGTGGCGTGAGCGATGAGATCAATGCACGTCTAGTGAAAGCCAGAGCGGCTTATGCCAATCTGAGCTATCTTTGACGCCTTCGTGATGTCAGTCTGGATGTAAAAGGTTAGGTCTACAATGCGTCGATGAGAGCAGTTTTGTTCTATGGTTGTGAAACCTGGCCTCTCCAAGTTGAGGATGTTAGACGACTCTCTGTGTTCGATCATCGTTGTCTCCGAAAGATTGCTGACAACACCATGTTAGTAATGCAGAGGTTCGGTATGTGTGTTCTGGCACAGAGACGACAATGCAGTTGGTGTCACCATCTTGAAACACAGACTTCGGTGGCTTGGACATGTTCTACGAATGTCGTCCTAGAGAATTCCACGTCGTGATTTATTTGCCGACTCTGGGACTGGTTGGAAAAAGCGGAGAGGTGGTTAGTGTATGACATGGTTTCGGGGTATGAAAGAAAGCTGCAAAGGGCTGACTTCTGTTGGTCCTTCAAGACTCCCTGGCTGGGGTCCGGGAGATGGTGCGACACAGTAACTAGAGACGTTATCAGATATGGCTCAGAATAGAAGCCAGTGGCGATCTTGCTGTAACCCTCTTTTACTTTCTCTATAAAAAGTGGTTGTATTTTCCTTAACGGACAGTTTTTTTCTGATTGTACTTTTCCGTTTCCCCCATTATTATTATTATTATTATTATTATTATTATTATTATTATTATTATTACACTACCTTACACTAATCTGGTCGTTATTGTTTTGTTTTTTCTTTTACGCTCCCTAACTTCTTTTTACTCTTTCCCCATTCTCATTGTTTTGAGTGGCGCATATATATTTGGTGTCCCATTGTACCAATATTTATGTGCTCAAATAAATAAATAAATAATAAGTTAGTCCTTACAGTAATTGTATGACTTAAAGCTGAGCACAACTGGATGATCATTGGGTAGTGGATTTTATCGATCAAGTCTAAGTGACTCGATATCGAAAGTGATTAGCGTACCCAATAGTTAGATTTTGGATGATATGGTTTAGAATTGTTTGCAATGTTGTAAGCGTATTCACTCATTATTTTCCTATTAGAATCTGAGTCCCAAAATCGATTTATACCTTTCTTCTTCAATTTATTCTTACTACTACTGTTACTGTTACTATGTCTAGTACTCTGGGATTTTTCTTGAAATAATTTTATCTCACTGTGCTAACGTAATATGACAATTTGAACCGATATACAAGTGTCAGATCCTGTGTTGCACACGACTAACTGTATTGCGTTGAAGTTGTAAGGTGGTTATAGGCAGCCAAAAAGAAAACCCTGTTTGACTGAGGTTTTGTGTCAGTTTCAATACCTCCAGAAGTATCAGTTTCCTTAGCATTAAAGATACGCCTTACTGGCCAGTATCAACTAGCCTGGAGCATAGATCATCCAGAATTTCGCTCCAACTACTATTAAACACTAATTCAAACAGCTGTTTATCAATAAAGCGAAATTTTATTGTCTATCCTGAAAAAGTGAAAATTCATATCTCATGACAGACTACCACCACCAATCAGCCAGAACAATAAATGTCAACTTTACCAGAAAAAAAACTACCTTAAGTACAAAATTAACGTGGAAATATGTTCTTACCCGATCGCGTACAGCTTCTGGAGCTGTCCATTTAAGAGGAATTGCTGCATTATCATGTAATACCATTGGATTTAGAGAGTTATGAGATGCATTATTATTATTATTACCATTATTATTATCATTATTATTATTAGCTGCCTCAAAAGATTGACGATGAGTTTCATGATCAGGTTTAGGATATTTTTCAATGGTATCACTTAATGGGGAATTAAGAATAACCAACGTTGGTGTATTATTATTCAATTTTGACGCTTGATTTGATGTAGCACCAGGAACAATTGATAAATCATGTAAATCTCTAGCCATACCGAAATCGGCAACTTTAGCAATTAAATTAGGTATTTGTCCAGATAGTAGAACATTTCTAGCCGCTATATCTCGATGAATAAAATCACGTTCTTCAAGATAAACTAGCCCACGACAAACATCACTGAATAAGAAAAACGAGAAGAGTCATTAAACCATAGAATTCTTACTTTTTTTTAGATTTTAAACCACTTAAAATTTCATAAACTCAAATGTAAGTTCGGATAAGATCGGCAGAAGTACCCTATTCTATGTTGTCATGGTTACTAGCACTGAAGTGGAAAGAACACGGGTGGGGACAATCGAATATATTTAACGCAAAATTACAGGACTTGTTAAAAAATCTAACAATCATGAAGTAAATGCCTAATTTGCAAAATGTCCATCAGTTGTCTCAAAATGACTCAGACTTCATTGTTCTTGCATTTTCATACAAATTGCATCCTGTTTCCATTCTTTACTGTTTGATCCTCGTGTCTCTCTGCTGCCGGACCTTCTGTTCACGACTAACATCATATACTACTTACGTCAATATAAGTAGCACACACCACAGTACCACCATACGTTTCTGATCAATAATTAATTACCTTATTCATTGTTTAATGCATTCATACAACACATCTAACTGCTTATCAGGATAATCATCCCACAAAATTGTTAAAATTTAATTGATATTATAAATATTTTTTGTGTTAATTTATGTGGAAATGAGACTAATTGTAAGTCTCCTGAGTTATTCCAATGAATAAAAAAATTTTGATGAAAGATTACTGATTATGTGCATCAACATACTCCATTTCTAGTTAATGGCTCTCAATTGCAGCTGTTACCTTGAAGTGATGATTAGGCTCACATATCGAAATGATTCAACCGGACTGTATTGGTTGGATCACTCGTTCATTTGGGATCTATAGTGCCAGGTCACATGGTTGGAGAGTGGTATGATTAAAACAACAAACTCATGGTTAGGGCATGAAGTCGTACATCCGGATGCAATGAGGTGTGACAACAATAACATGTTTCACTCAAACAACCAGCACCTGCATTGATAATGCTTTCCCACAACGGAGAGAGATGACTATAAAAGATCGGAACTCTCATGGATTTCTGTTACCTATGATAAGGCTTTAAAAGCACGAAATTAATTAATCTAACACTACTCACAAAGAGAATTGTGTCTGATCAGTATCAAGTATTTGTCGTTTGGGCATGATGGCCACGCTTGTAGATCATCAAGACCGCACCGAACCCAGTTCTAGCCAAAGCATTGAGGCATATTTCCGTCTTTATTCATTTTATTTTAAACAGCATGTGAATTGAAAATCCTCAACCACTTTGGTATTCTTCATCAAAAACATTGAGAATGATATATCTCCAAATATAACGTACAAGAGATAAAATTCATCTCTTAATTCGTATATCAATTGAAGATGAATTTTGTTCAGTATTCCAGTTGTATTTAGTTATTTGGTTCTTAATGCCTTTTTTTTTCTAGTGTAATCATTATTTTGCGATGATTTTGCAGTTAATAAAACTCTGTAATTAACAATCATTGAATTGATGCAGAACATAACTAGATTGGATATAAAACCGATCTTCTTTGATCTTGTGCAATAAATCATCTCAACAAAGATTAGTTTTTCAGAATAGTTGGAGAGGAGACCTAGAAACGACTACAACTGTTTGTATATGGTATTACAGTTGACGTTACCGTTTCTTTGCATATACGGAATCCGTAAAAAAAAACTAGAAAGGGAACAAGTAAATCCTCAACTCCTATTTACCATGTCCAGAGATGTTGGTACATGGTTTGGAACCATATCATCAATGTGATGGCCAGTGTTAGTATCCCTATTTTACAAACCGATGTAAGTAAATCACGATTCGGACCTGCAACTTAATGGTTGAAATTCGACCGCCATACACACTAAGCTGGTCGTTCCACACACACACACACACAACTGGAACCACCAATCATACACAAAACAATAATGTTCATAGATTCAGTCAAAGAAATGAATAAATTTTGATTTGATTTTAAAACAATAATAATAATTATTATTATTATAACTTACATACTAAATTTCAACTTGGTCAATTCTGTAATTTCATCACGTGTACGAGAGTGTAAATAAGTGAGTAAACTACCATTAGCTAAATATTCTGTAATTAAATATACTGCATCATCTGGTTCATATACTAAACCAATAAATGATACTAAATTAGGATGATTTAATTTTCTATTCCATATGTTGTATTCAATATTGTCATTTTGATAGAAGAAAAAAGAAAAGGGGAAAAAAAGAAAAGAAGAAAAAAAGAATATCTAAGTTGAAATGATTTTTTTCTTAAATGTTCAACAAAACAACTTAATACCAGAAGGGTTTTTTTGGATATTATAGTAATTTTAATAGTTAAGAACCTGGAAGCATTTCATCAGTGATCTAGAGGTTAAGCGTTCGCGCGCAAGACTGATAAGTCCTAGGTTCGAATCTCGCGAGGCAGGACCGCGGATGCGAACTACCACGGAGGAGTACCATAATCAGACGAAACGGCCGTCTTGTGCTTTCACATTTTTCATAATGGTCTAGCTTCAATTGACTCATGATCTCAACCATTAGAATAACTTAATATGTTTAAATTAATCGTAAGCGGATTTATGATGAAATGTGAGTCTATCTATTAACCAGTTTATTAACTTCTGTAGAGTAAGGTACACAGATCCCAAGTATTTGCTTTCAACTTGAATTATGAGAACACATTCCAATGGGGTTTTACGAAAGTGAGAGAAAACCTATTAGGAATTCTATCCTTGCATAATGAATCAGTTCTAATCACTTCACTGATCCATTGGTTGATTTTAAGGTTGTTTATATGATTTATCCAGGAATTATTTATATCCAACTCCTTGAACCAGAAGAAGCTCTTGTCTATCCATGAAATGAAGCCTGAACTGTGTGCACAACAAAAGAAGTACGCCTTATCGACATCCTTGCAAAGACCTTAAATCATTATTATTATCATTTTAATTTGTAATGATTCGATTTGTCCTATTGTTGATATTTTGACTGAATTTTGATCAGTCCTAGTAGGAATATGTGTAGATTGCCTCGGTATAGCCATTATAACACAATTCTACATATAGAATAGGTCATATTTAGCTGACGATCGAATCTAAGATGAACCTTTCTTCCTATTTAGTGCTCATCAACAGGATTCGAACTCAGTATCTTTCAATTTAAACATTAACTGGTTTTATCGATTTCTTAATTTGGAAATATTTCTTCATTATTATTTCATATATCCTTATGATTTTCTTCCATAAGTGTTTCTGATATTATACCATTACATTTTATTTCTTTAATATTGTTAATTATCATGATTAAAGCATTTTAATTATCGTCCTAGCGGAATTCGCTAGAAAGAAAATCACTTCGCTGAATTTCAGGTTTTTTAATGTTTAAATGAGAACTATAAATCTATTGAAATGAAAAGAAAGTAGAATTTTTATTGAAATCATGAACTGATCTAAGTTACGCCACCATTGAAAACTTGGAAGCATTGGATGACTGTTTTGTCCTAGTATGGAATTCCTTAACAGTGCGCATTCACAATACCACACGCAGAAATCGAACCCAACCACTCTGCTTATATTATACTATAATACCGATTGGGTACATTTCAGAGTGAAAGATAGAACGCATGTTCTATTCACCGGAGTGCAATAACTGTTCTGGACTTCTACCTTTTTAGTCTTGTATTTTGCCCACTGATCATTTATGAACCGTGTAACAGGGATTATTTATTCTTTTTTAGTTAGGAGGGTTTCTTTGCATTCTTTGGAAGGATGTTCATTTTCACTGTTGCTTAGTTCTCATGAAAGTCTCTTTATATTGAATTTGGGCGTTACAATTGTCACTATTGGAAACTTACAATCACCGCACGATCGTTTCATCTGAGTATGAGACTCCTCAGCAGTGCGCATTCACGACCCCATGTCCAGGAGTGGAACTGAAGACATAGCATCTGACGGAAATTGTCCTGATATAAAACTTTAGACAATTTTGAAAAACTTTCATGGATTAAAAACGTTAGTTTAACGTTAAAACAGCGAACAGATTCTCCATATAATTTTAACACATAAAGACATAAACCTTAAATCAGATTTGAGACATTATTTACCGCTCGAAAACACTGAGGATGAAGATAACAAATCACAGTAAGTAATACTAAATGACGACAATACGCATAACTATAATTACGTGGAAGAATAGACTTACGTCATAAGTGATGCTTCATAGGTTATGGCCAATTTAGAAGCAGTCTTTTTGTAAATTTTCACCGCTACTTGTCGACCATGATAAGTAGCTTTAAGAACTTCTGCAATTGTAACGAAAAAAATGAAAATAAAACTTGTGAACAGACTATTTAAAATAATCCTAAAATGTCACACCTCAACAGTACACATACAAACACAAATAGATAACAAGTAAAATTAGAAGAAAATTCAGTTCGCTATCGGCACCGATTAAACCAGCAGTTTCCCAGCTGCTGATTCGATATCGTACCCGAGTGGTTGGCAAATATCAGCTCTGATGGTAATTTAATTCCAAACCTGATTATCCAACGGATGGAGGATATATATAGGTCAGGATTGATAATAATCTTGAGATAATTGAATTGGTTAAGCCATATGTCAATCTGGGTCATCGTTGGCGCCTTCATAATGTTAACCTGGTTTTAAAAGGTCGGGTTCATAACTCGTCAGTGAGAGAAGTGTCACCCTATGCTTATTAGATCTTGCCTCTCCGAGTTGAGGATCTTAGGTAAATCTCTGCATTTGATTATTGTCATCACTAAAGCATTGGTGGCACTTAAAGCCAACACCATATTAATAATACAGAGGTTTGGCAACGTTTGTTCGGGTACGCTAATAATAATTCTAGTAGTGTCACCATTTTGAAATACCGACTACAGTGACCTGGACATGTACAACTCATGTCGTCTCGGGAAATTCCATATCGTGAATAAGTGGATAGGTGGCCAGTTTATGACATACTGCCGGGGTATGAAAGAAAGTTGTATAAGACTGGTATTTGTCTGTCCTCTATGATTCCCTGCTTGAGGTCCTACTGATAGTGCAACTCGGAGGCTTTAGAAGTTATTAGACATGACCCAAAATAGAAACCAAGATGGCGATCCTGTTGCAATTTTCTTTTACTTTCTTCCTAAAAGTAGGAACAGCTTCTTTAACTGAAGAAATTCTTCCTGGTTGTATCTTCATTAACTGAACTGCTTCTCTTACTATTTACTAACCTCATTCATTTTGTTGTTTATTTTAATCCCTTTTTTGTACTAATACTTATGTATCTAAATAAATATACAGGGCTGACAAATAATTCACTCATTATTAATAAACTCCAAACAATGACAAAGACCACTTGCAAGGTAGTATTTCGCAACTGAGCACAGCAATGATGGACACGATATGATGTACTACTACTACTCAACTCGGATAACGATTCGATAATACGCTTTATGGGTAAGTCATAAAACTTACCCAACCAAGTTGAAACGTGTGATTAAATTAATGGATTTAGACACAGAATATACTTACCACCGAATTCTCCACGCCCAATACGATCACCTAATGCAATTTCTTTGCGAAAAATGAGATAACCAAGTTTCTGTAGTTCACTTAATCGCTTTCTTTGCATATCTGGGACTGGATGAAGAAGTGCACAAACTAATCCGCGTTTGGGTTCCGAATAAAACTGATTGGGTGGTGGAATGGGACAAAAGATAAAACAAACAGTTGAACACAGATTGTATGAAATTGTGATGCAACGGCTTAAGGACTCAGATTGGAATTAATTAATTAATGTATTCTCCTATTGTTGACGACAAGATCTATAAATGATCAGTCTCTATTGGTATATTTTTATACTCAGCTGATAACGTGTAGACTAATCAAATGAAAGGTCAGCTACAACATACGACCAGATACATATATGCACCAGTCCAAGTCGTCATACTTCATTAGCACAAGATCAACACAAAATTCATAGAAGCAGTTACTTCAATGGTAGTAAAAAAAGCATTTCACATAAGGATATAATATAGGGAGAAAGAATTAGTCTGTAGAAAGGTATGAAGTAATTTTAATCTTACGATTAAACAAAGTGTGTACACACCTACGCCATTGTGACCGACTCTGAGCCATGTCACCTAGAATCTCCAACCATTAGTTATTATAGTCAAGCGGACCCCAACCAAGTAGTCTGCATCTACCAACATGGCTTACACCAGAAGTCAGTGACTTTATGGACCGATGACACGTTTTGGTTTGGCCGCCCTTAACTTTATTCCACCCGTCTCTAAGTTCTACGTTGCAACCGGATGACATATACCCACGTGGTTGAAACCAGCAATCAATGAATTCGTAGACTGACGATACGTCTTCAACTCCCTGTTCCTAACCTTTTCCCCAACCTACTCCTATGTCAGATACCAAAGCTAATGAGGGTAGGCGGAGGTTACGCATGTATAACACATTTGACACTTCCCACTTATCCACATTGTGTAAAGGATATGAAAAAGAAGAAAGTGATTAGCTATAACAGTCTTGTCATCTAGGTAACATGACCACGCAAACTGAGGAGAAATCGTATGCGACCAATCACGGATCGTCTTTATTTAGTGTTTTTAATTATGCTGCATCCATAATTTTTAAACCTTACGGCCGTAGATTTCCGTGTTACCACATCACACTCGAAAAGACAGCATTTGCTTTATTATAAGGTTATACATATTATTCTTAAGGTTCAAAGAATATCAGGACGTAAGTAATGATCAATGAATAATCCTTTAGATTTCAGGAAACTTGGACAAAAGACCGTTTATAAATCTGAAATAGCTTTTTTTGAATGATTTCAAGTATATACATATAATATTCTGACGGATGATTTCGGTCTTAAAATCAGTTTGTTATATTTGTCATTTCAATAAACAAACAGACCGTTTCCACTTTGAAGCATAATGTTTAAGATTTCACAAGAATATAACATCTGACATTTCAAATAACTACGTATATCATATGCTAGATTCAGTCTGTAATGTATCACACGAACAAGAGATACGAGATTGTAAAACGAATAAAACCATATTTCTTAAGGAAATATAAACATTAAAACATTCACTTGATACCACAAATCTGTACACCCAAACTAACGGAAATAATTACTATTTATGTACTAAAAAATACTTATTTATGAGACTGACTCACTTAACACTAATGACCCTCGAAAAAAAAACTATAGCTTAAGTAATCTTCCACGTACATTGTGTAACACAACTACTAGGCTACACAAAACTATGACCCTAAATAACTCACCTGAACTAGTTCTAAAAGGCTTGGAAACCAATCAGTCTCGTCTAATGTGTAGTGAATTTTGCTGCAAATTGGGGGTGTTGAATATTCGGAATGTTGGTTAGGAGGGGTAGCTTTAAACGGCCTACGGACTATTCGATAGTGCTGTACATTAGTCGTAGTATTTGGAGGTGTCGCTGTAGGATTCTGTTGTTCAGCAGCATCTGGGTTTCCGACTTCACATGAAGGTCCAACAACACATAATGTTAAACCACCACTGTACAAATCGGATTCACGTATTAGAAAACTTCCGACAGGACTACCAGAAAGTAAACTCTCTGATTCGGCACGAGAAATCCGTCCATGATACCAACTAAACAAAGAAGAAATCGGTGTTTAGCATAATTTACAAAGAATTATACTTAAAATGCCTAACTAACAGACATTAAGTCAGACTAAGTACCAACGTAACTTATTTGAAATTATATCATTCAAGGCGTTCGGTTAGTGGTTTAACTGCCAAACCATGATCCTATCCGGAGAACGTATAGTTTAGAACAAGATTTAAGATGATGGTGTAGTGAACAAGAACACGGGTGGGGACAAACGGATGTATTTAGCACAACAATTACAGTCTATCTCAACAAAATCTGAATACCATATAGTCAATCGTCAATTTGCAAAATATTCATGCATCAAATCAAACTGAACTGTTTCTGTTGCAAACACCAATCCATTGTCTCCCATTCCATTGTTCATGCATTTTCTTACAAATTCCAATGTGTTCTCGCTCTACCTTTCTTGATCTTCCCCATCTTCCGCTGCCAGACATTACGTTCCTTTAACGCACGTTACATACTACTTATATCAGTATAAGTAGCTCACACCACAATGGGACTAATGTCGTCTTAAAGATATGTCGGGTTCACCAAACCGCGACGTAGGTCATGACACGGAACGAGTAGCATATGTCATTAACTGACATAGTTGATCCATGATTAAAAATCATTCAAGCCCTCACTTAGATCTAAAGTGTATTAGGTATGAAAGAGACCTAATACATTTGAAATTTTCTCTGTGTATCAGAAGACACGATTATAAGTGAACTTTATCAAACAAAATTACCACCTACATACTTTAGTTTGAGCTCTGTATGAAAGAAAAGTTTATCGTAAATAATTATGCATTTTATCCTTTGATTTCAATACAATATACTCACATGTCCACAGTTTTTTTCCACCCTTCATGCGCTACTTCATTTACAGATACTACAGTACTACTGGACGAATCTAAGGCTTCTGCCAAATGTTAGAACACCGTCATACTTTCAAAGGTCAACAATCGTAGTGTTTCTTGACATCAGGACTGCCTTCGATTCGTTGGATAGGACCGTTGTCTGGGATTGTCTATTGAAGAAGGGTGTGCCTGAGAAGTTTATTAACATCCTAAAGGCCCTATATACAAACACCTCAGGCAGAGTGAGGGCATACAACCACCTTTCTCCATTGTTCCATTCGAGCAATGGAATTAGGCAGGGTTGCCCAATCTCACCATTCCTCTTCGAATTTGCCATCGACGACATTCTGGAAACAGCTCTGATGGGTGTGAGTAATGGTGGTGTGGATCTGTTTCCTGGAGAAAGACTTCTCGACCTTGAGTATGCGGATGATATTGTCTTACTGTGCAATAATACTGAAGCCATACAATCCACACTTAATCAGTTGGCAATCAATGTCCGTAGGTACGATATGTGCTTTGCACCTTCGAAGTGCAAAGTACTTCTACAAGACTGGCAGGATCCTAATACTGCACTCACTCTGGATGGTGAGCAGATAGAAGTAGTCGAGAAGTTCGTGTATCAAGGTAGCTGTATAAGTGCTGGTGGTGGCGTGAGATCAATGCACGTATAGTGAAAGCCAGAGTGGCTTATGCCAATCTGAACCATCATTGACGCCTTCGTGATGTTAGTCTGGCTGTAAAAGGTCACATTTAAAACGCGTCGGTGAGAGCAGTTTTGTTCTATGCTTGTGAAAAAGGGGCCTCTCCGAGTTGAGGACGTTAGACGACTCTCTGTGTTCGATCATCGTTATCTCAGAAGGATTGCTGACATCCGGTGGCAACACCATGTTAGTAATGCAGAGGTTCGGCATCGTGTGTTCGGGCACAGAGACGATGATCCAATTGGTGTCACCATCTTGAAACACCAACTTCGGTGGCTTGGACATGTTCTACGAATGTCGTCCCAGAGAATTCCACGTCGTGATTTATTTGCCGACTCTGGGACTGGTTGGAAAAAGCGGAGAGGTGGTCAGTGTATGATATGGTGTCGAGGTATGAAAGAAAGCTGCAAAGGACTGGCTTGTGTCGGTCCTTCACGACTCCCTGGTTGGGGTTCGAGAGATGGTGCTACACAGTGGCTAGAAACGTCAGTCAGTCAGCTACAACGTAGGACCAGGCACATATGTGCATCGGTCCAGGTTGCCATACCTCATTAGCACAGCAAGATGAACACCGGATTCAAAGGAGTGGTTAGGTCAAAGATGGTAATATATAGGAGAAAGATTGCATATAAGGATACAGTACCGGAATATAGAATTAGTTCGTAGAAAGAAAGATTTGAAGTGATTTTAATCTCTTAGTTTAAGGGAAGACAGGGAGTATATACACCGACGCCATTGTGTCCGATTCTGAGCCATGTCACCAAGAGTCTCCAACCATTGGTTACGAAAGTCACGTGGACCCCAACCAAGTAGTCTGCATCTACCAACATGGCACAGACTAGAGGTTAGTGTCTTCAAGCACTGATGCCACGTTTTGGTTTGGCTGCCCCTAATTCTCTTCCAACCATCTCTAACACCCGTTAGCATTGCACGACGTGGTAATCGGTGTTCAGGCATACGTAACACGTAGCCCAACCATCTCAGTCAATGAAGATTAACAACCTCATCAACTGATTTACCATCATTCCCTAATACCCTACGTTTAACCTCACTATTACTTACCCGGTGATCCCAACAGACGCTAGAAGCGTTATCAGATATGGCTCAGAATAGAAGCCAGTGACGATCCTGCTGTGACCCTCTTTTACTTTCTTCATAAAAAAGTGGTTGTATCTTCCTTAACTAAAAGATTTCTTCTGACTGTACCCTTCTGTTCCCCTACTATTACTATTATTATTATCACACTACCTTACATCAATCTCTTCGTTATTGCCTTTTTTTATTTTTTTTGCTTTCCTCACTTTTTTTCTTCTTAAATTCCCATTGTTTCGTGTGGCGCATATATATTTGGCGCACTCCTGTACCAATATATATGTGTTCAAATAATAATAAATAATAAGACTTCTGCTATGTTAAATAGGAACAATACTATTATTCATCTCATTTAGGTCGATCAGATAATTGCCAAGCAGAAGAGCACTAATACCTGAGAATTCAGGAAGAGTTTAATTTGTCACCATCAGGAAATTTGTAAAAAAGGTGGCTAAAAATTAAAGTTGAAGAAAGCTAATGTACACATACCAACCGACGCGGTTCCAGTAAGCGACAGACTGTTGTAGGATCTTACTTTAGATGGCATATCTCAAAATTAGTAGCAGTGGAGAAGATGCATCTACCTTTTATTTTCTCATAATATGGAATTTCAAAACTATTTGTATCTCGCGAATTTACTCTTTTTTCTCAAATTATATGTTTCATAGTCTTTTTGGCTTGACTGTTACTACTACGCCTACCAATAGTTCACTCATTTTGCCAATTTTATCTTGGTGTGATGTAGTGTGGCAATTTAGACAGTAGATCATTTGCACCGGATCCTTACGTTCTTTATAACTAACTAACTGAGTAAGAGTTCGATATGATCACGTATATTTGAGTAGGGTTGAAAGTAATTCGTAACACTAACCAAGAACTCACTCAAGTAAAAAATCATGAAATCTTGATATAGATATATTCAAGTATTATTAATGCTAAATAAATCCTATACCTGAATCAAATAGAAGGCACATATTTCTAATTGCTCCTTTTCCTATTTACACGTCTTTAGATCAGACATCAAGGCGATTACAAATCCTAGTGATGAGAGAACTTTGATTTCTACGGTTTTTCGTCGAACGTTACACAAAAATATTTATCCTCAACAATTGACTGAGATTAGTAATTGAAACTAGTCAAAGAATATAATCAACATCTACAAACAAACCAATACTTTAATGATTTTGAACAGAAAAGCAATATTAAGATCGGAACTCGTTGTGCCTCCAAGTAAGGACCGGAGTCAGACAAGGCTGTTTACTCTCTCCCTTCCTCTTTCTTCTGGTGGTCGACTGGATTATGAAGACCTCGACATCTGAAGGAAAACACGGAATACAATGGACAGCTCAAAATCAATTAGACGATTTGGACTTCGCAGATGACCTAGCCCTCTTATCGCATACACACGAACAGATGCAGATGAAGACAGCCAGTGTAGCAGCAGTCTCTGCATCAGTAGGCCTCAGTATACACAAAGGGAAAACCAAAGTCCTCAAATTCAAAGCAGAAAACAACAATCCAATCACTCTTGATGGCGAAACTCTGGAAGATGTAGAATCCTTCACATACCTGGGAAGCATCATCGATGAACAAGGAGGTTCAGATGCAGACGTAAAGGCAAGGATTGGCAAAGCAAGGACAGCATTCCTACAGTTAAAGAACATATGGAACTCAAAACAACTTTCAACCAATATCAAAGTGAGAATCTTCAATGCCAACGTCAAGGCAGTTCTACTGTATGGAGCTGAAACTTGGAGAACTACAACAACCACCATCAAGAAGGTACAAGTATTTATAAATAGTTGTCTACGCAAGATACTCAACATTCATTGGCTGGATACCATCAGCAATAGCCTACTGTGGGAGAGAACAAACCAACTTCCAGCTGAAGAAATTAGGAAAAGACGATGGAAATGGATAGGACATACATTACGCAAATCGTCAAACTGCATCACGAGGCAAGCCCTAACTTGGAATCCTGAAGGGAAGCGAAAAAGAGGAAGGCCAAAGAACACATTGCGTCGGATAATAGAAGCAGATATGAAAACGATGAATTACAACTGGACGGAGCTAGAAAGGATTGCCCAGGACAGGGTTGGATGGAGAATGCTGGTGAGCGGCCTATGCTCCTTCACGAGGAGTAACAGGCGTAAGTAAGTAAGTCGTTGTGCCTCTTGATTTTACGTTAATCAGTTTTTCGACCGTGACAAAATGGAAGAAATATCGAAATTAGAAAACTAGCTATGTAGAAAAAATGATGTGACAGTTTCTGCAGAAATATCGTTAATGGGACATAAGACTGATAATCTGATTAAACGACTAACGGCTGTAAAAAGGTGTCAAGGTTTTCGACGGTGAGAGATCCAGATACATCAATTTTCACATGCTGAAACCGTCTATTAGACAATTGAAACTGACCTTATGAAAATACTATGTGCCAGTGAAACTTTATCCGTTGATAATGTATGCAAGCGCGTGTCCACCTTCTAATGTCAATATTCATTTCGGACCATAAAACGCGGTTAGATCTAGGCCCCATTTTTGCGCATCCACGGATTTAATAGGGAGTAAACGTCAAGAAAGAGGCTTTTCCTGCAACGTTTACGATAGAATAAATAGTTGTTGCAGGTTAAAACACTACGCGATAGTGGAATCATGAAATGGAATAGGAATGATTCTAAGAACCGAGCTAGATTTAATTGCAAACGATCGAATCCGACTCATCTAATTGGAACCTAGACCTAGGTAACCCTTGTTCAATTACAGAATGAGTAGCGAGGAACAAACCAACCGCGCAATATCTGATCTGTATCAGATCTAATAGCTTTAAGAAGGATAGCGATGGAATGCCGCTATTTGCGTATTCTTGTAGAACTGCTCTGATTGCAGTTTGGTGCATTAGTATAGAGAATCATGTATGAATGGATGGGAATTGATCTACCTACCCAGTCTGAACAAGGACCAAAGATAATCACACCAACTTCGGATAATACCTAGTAATTAAATCGGAGAACCGAGCTCAACCTGAAGATTAGTGCAAATTTTTGGTAGCTTAGGTTCTAATTTATGGTACCTGTGCAAGAAAATTATACAATTACTACCATTCTGACAGCATTTAGAAATGAGCATTACCCTAAACACTTGTGACAAAAATGCACCATATTTTGGCTAGGATAGGTGGCTCACTTAATATGGGCGTATCTAACACCATGTACCGACAAAATGAGGAGAATACCACCGTTACAACGTCAACATACATATGAAGTTTAACACTTAAAAAGTACATGTTTCCACGACTTCAGGAATCACAAAAATGTCAACGACATACGATATCACTACTTTTATATACTAAAAATATAACCATTAGTTAGTTTGGTTTAAAACACAGGTAATTTAGTTACCAATGATCTTTGAGATTTTCTAAAACATCCGCCTTCCGCTGGACGTAATTTAGAGGAATCAGTCCAGTCTCCCCAAAAGCATTCTTCGCATGGGCCCAATTCGGATCCTTGATAAACAGATCGATACTTTGTACTTCAAAAATTTAAGCTCACTTTGCCTATATTAATGATCTCTAGTGTTTCATTTTTACTAAATGGTAAATCCTCATTTTTGTCTTTCTTGAACGTATAATTGGCTTTCACGACATCCCCAGGCTTGAACCTGCATTCCATCATACGTTCATAGGTCATAATTTACGGGCACATCGTTGAAATCTGCATCTTATTTGTTGTATACATTGCTTCCCAAAGGAATGCACCGCATACATTTGAACGAATGCGGAAAAGGTAAATCAAAAATTCAATTAAAAATCTCATTTCTATCAGCTAAGTTAAAATAACTGATTCTTTATCCCCTTCCTTTTGCTTTGCAACACCTTATTACGAAAATGTAGGATCCACTTTTCCTGTGATCTAAGTTTTACTGAACTTTAAAATTTAATTTAAATTGAAGATTAAAGGTTCATTAAATTCCACTGGAAGTTGAAGAGTCGCGGCACAAATATATCTGACTACCGCGAACTTCATATAAACTTCTGTTTTACTAAAAAGTCTCAGCATAACGAGTAGAAGCTTGGTTCTTTCAGTAGTGTATTCGCAGCTCGAAGTAATGGTATAGTTACCGAAGTTAAGAGATTAAACAGAAGCGACAGCCGACAACCTGAAACTACGATAAAAGCACTTTTATGTGAATCCGGAGCTATTCTCCCTTATAATGTATGCATACACCATGTTTCGCTTCTCTGATTGATGAAGAATTTGTGTGTTTACCTCAGGCCAATCGGCTACACATGCTCCGCACAGTAGTGTGATAAATGTTTTCGCCACACAATCGCGACTTTTTCTGGCCTTACAGCTCAATCAGGAAAACAGGTTTGATGAAATCGTTCCAGCATGTTCAATGACTGGAGGTTAATTTTACTCCATAACCAAACTCTTCGATGAGTTGGTCTTCCGAATGTCCGCTAGACATCTGTAGTTCTATTGTAGTCGTTGAGGTCCAACAGAGGCTTCCAACCCACCTTTCGGAAAAGAGTTTCACAAAATGTTGGTCAAGTATTTCATTAGTAGATACTGTCTCAGATCAGTGACTCCGCATGTTAAGAGCTAAAGTAGTCTGTTTGCTTTGAGCATATACTCTTACCAGACGGAGATGAACGTTGTCAAAGCATTCACTAGTTTTAAAAAACCTAAAATACGCTTTCTCTATGTACTTAACTTTATGGTTGACAATCTAAACCAGACTATGACTAGCTTATAATTTTATCCATTGCAGCCGAGTGAAAATGAGCTTGATCGTTGGTCAAACACCTCGATGGAGGTAACTGTGTAACGTATGTAAATCGTTTATAAGAGTTGCTATGGCAGTATATCTGCCTATGGAAAAGTCTTATGGTTTATCGAAATTTCAGGTGAGTTTAACAGGGCTTGATGATAACCACACTTTACAGACGAAAATTATTTTATCAAAGCGACTTGAATCACTCTAAATTTTCAGTACTCAGATTTAACTGAAGTACTGCCCTAAGTTCAAGGTACTTATCATGAGCTTGACCCGAGAAGCGGATCAAGTCCTGTAACGATAGTATAATGTCCGATAACTGCCATACGGGTAGTATTTGAAAAGCCCTTCTACCAAGAGCCTTGAAAGACATTCGTTTGAGAAAACAATATAATTATTCCAAGGGACACCAGAAATTTTGAACTTCAAGGACTCATTTCATAACATCCAACATGGAATGTTTATAAGCATTTCTTGAAACTTAAGCATATTTTGACTCTTAAATAACCCGAGTGATCTAGATAAATATGGAAAGTAAACATTCATCAGTTATAGTGTACACTACTCATGTTCACCCCGTTTGTGTGACGCAGGATATAAGAAGCCAAGTACGGATTCCGTTGGCAGAATTTATTTCAAACACTCGTTTATCCAGGCGGACATTCACAATAAGAAGCAGGAAAGCGAATCGAAGCAGAGAAAGAAAGTGAGCCAACTCAATTAGATTAAGCGTGATTCAATATATACAATCAGACAAAAATAAGCTGCAAGCATGTGATGAGCAGGATAGGTGATTCGCATATACACCCATGTAACAATAGTCAGTTCTAATGAGCGAATAATCAACAAGGTCAAAATGTGTCTCGAAAAGAATGAATAAATCAGTCTGTCCGGATACTAGAATAACTCATGTAGGCTTGACATGGTACTAGACACCACGAATTCCTCCGTTAGAAGCAGCATATTACCTTAAAGGTCGTCTGCTTTCGAAAATAACACTAAAGAAGTGTGGGACTAACGTTGACAATATTTAGCATAGAATTTGTACCATATCTGATAGAGTAGAGTGTCACGCGAAGGGTGAGTGTATAATATGAAAGTATCATACTGGTGTGAACAAAGTATATGAATACCGTAAAAGAAAATGTTGGCACGTGACTGTAGGCTTATTAAAATGCCTACTAAAAAACATGCATTTATATCGAGACTGTATGGACGATAAAGTAACACATTTGTATGAGCAACTCGAAATGGCACAAAAACAGGGTAATAAATCATTTGTCGTTTACGGGAATGACAGTAAAATAAATCATGAAAATAAGTAGGACAGAGTATGACAGAAATTTATTTGTGATGCTGACGGAATATACGGACAAAGTATAGTTGAGTATGTATAGGTTCTAACAACTCGCAGTAGGATAAATGGAGTCAATTAGTGATGATTGGCTTGACATTTAAATTGCAAAACGTTTATGTGGGACGGGAATAATCAAACCGTAAAATGACAGCCGATTTGACGGATGATATTCATTCCTGCCTCGTAATCGACATTAATCACAAAGTGCGAAGACAGTATATCTTGTCCTATGCGTTATGCTCAGATGCATCGAGTTATCGAAAAATATCTATTAGTAGAATGATCGAAGGATCATAATCAAGACTGCGGAGATAAGATACACGAAAGGGTCGTATTTTCTTTTGTTCGTGGAGTCTAGTGCGGTCTATGTCCTTCCACGGATACGCGGTCAACTTCGCTTGCTACGAAACGGTACTAAAGCATGATTTCTATACTCAAAGAAAACTTGGTCCAACCACCCCTGTTTTGTTCCTATCACTATATAAAATATGCTAATGGTCTCGTAGAGAAGCCCAAAATATTGTTCCTCCTCTCCTGTCTAAGATGAATAACAACAATTAAATACAAACGGACAACCGAGTGTGCGATATGGCTAAGACATCACTTGTACAAGAACAGACTCCAACACCTGGGATTTACAGGAGAATAAGAAATGTTCCGATAATGGAATACGACACAATAAGTACTCCAGACCACCCTAACACGAGCATATGATCAGAAAATCACCAATACTCCTCGAGGCAACCATCAGATGATTCTTCTTGAATGAGCGAAAGCACAGGTACGCTTGTAGAATTATGGTCTACTATGATGATAGTACTGCTCTAATAGTAGACCTAATCCTATAATTGTAGATTTGTCATGATATAACTACCTAATCTATAAGATCTTACGCAGAAGTCATATCATCGTCTACACCCACTCACTACATTGTAACAATTACCAATACATGACAGAGAACAAACTCAGGCTAGAGATAGAACAATATATTTAATGTGAATACAAGATATAAAGTAACATTCAGCAGGGACCACGCCTTCATGGCCGAGCCATCCCATACGATCAACCCCAATTAATTCAATTCCTTGTTCCCGCCAGTTCCATCGTTAAGTATCTCTCCGCGTTAAATATTGAATATCTATTTTCCGAGTAGTCTCGTGTTCAGCTTTGAGGATTGTGTGGTTCTGGTCCGATGTCACTACACGCTCTCATTTTTTATCACTAAGAGTTGACCTCATTTGCAGCTCATTCACAGATGAAGTGACCAAAGCCCCATTGGCAGTTAGCCTGAAGTGGAGACCATCTCCTTCGTGAACCAACTGTGTCTGGTGCACATCTCGTAAATTATCACGGTTATCATTATCGCACATCAGTAACTACTCCCTATCATCATCTCTCTTCCTCGTATTACTTCACCTCGGTCTTCCTACATACCATCAAGCCAGTGTATTAATTACTTATTCTTAAAATAGTCATTTTCCAGTAGCAATCGAAATATTACTCTATTATTTTCACATTTTAACAAAACACCCTCCTACCAGGTAGTGTAATAGCTGCTGGTATCCAGGATGCCTGTTGTATTCAGAAGAACGCACTTTTTCACACTATAAATATCCAAATCAAATGGTTAGACTGCCACCTATTGGACATCACCAAATACCCGGAACTGTACCAAAATAACAAGAATTTAGCGCGAAAATATCACTTGGTCTATACAATCTTGTGAATGTGCACTACATCGAGGAATCTAAAGCTGCCACTTTATAGCTTTTTAGGTATGTGTTGGCATTTCGTGCCTGTATATGACCCCAGTTAAGTGTTCATGTATCATATTTACTTTCCTCACAAACTATTGGAACATCAAGCCAATAGAACAATAAGTCGAAAGCCAAAATACGAAATGTGATAAATAAAAGTTTATGAGCAACCTATCCTTATAAGCGAAAAACAGGCTGATACAACTTTAGTTTGTCTATGGGAGAACCTATGTTGATATCTAAGATAATAATCATGCTAAAAAGACCAGACCTATTTCACAGGTTAGAAAATATCCACCTCACAATCTTAAAGGACGTTTGCTCTCATAAAAATCCAACTACGTACTATCCTTAGTCTGTAATTCCACCAATTTTGTCGATTGACCTAATCTATAAGATCTTATATGGAAGTCACCGACTCGTCCTATCGGGTTAATCAGCAATATGATGTTGAGCACTTCTGAGGAGCACATCTGAGCTGTGGATATAATAATATGTTTTATGTTAAAAGGAGTACGTTTCCTAGTGGCCACGTCTGAAAGACTGAGCCATGCTATTTCGATGCTGTGTTGCCACGTCCACTATTTGCGTGTAACATGGAACTAGTATTGACAGTGTATTTCAACAAGGTGTGCAACATGGAGCTTAGGTTAAAACATTTATACATACCATGAAAGAAGAAGAGTCTAATATCACAAAACGAGGTGGGTCGGCGTTACTGATCAGCAAACCTGATGCTGGGAAGATAACCTTATTCCATCCATGTCTGCATAACAGGACATTTCGTTAAATTACGGCTACTTATGGTCTAGAGGGGTGTATTGATGCTAATTTCCTATACCAAACACCTCCTTGACTCATTTTGTGACCCTGAATTGGTTTTAATTCCTACCAAGAAATCTTAGTACAAAAAAGACTGAACAATTACGCTAAACGTAAGTGGATTCATGACTTGTAGTGTTAGTCATTAGTTTTAGCCCATAATATATCTTATTCTAGTTTTCGGACATTTCATTCTATTCATTCTGCTTGAGTCATATTTTGACCTTGTCAATTATTCGCTTG